AAACAGACTCCTTTTCCCATCAATTAACCTATTTTTACCCAAACACGAACCAACCGTCAGGGCTGTTTCTCAACAAATGTGAATGGTGAATGGCAGAATATAAGTGGAGGTACTGTATTAGATTATATCTAGATTCTGCAGCAAAAAAGCATTATCTGATCTGATCCCTGTTTCTGGAAATATGACTAGTTATAACTCGCATTTGTCTCTTGCTACAAGCAAAACACACAAGTTCCAAAGTATGAGAAACACAGAATGAGAGGCAAAAAGGGAGTGACAAAGGGGGGGGGGTTGTCCACCATACACATATTGCTGGGGTGAAGCATCTCCAACATTGTAGGTAGCAGATTAGACTTTTTAATTCTGTTCTTCAAAATACCCCCATTTTATAAATGTGGGATACTGTACTTCCATATTCACAATTCAAAATTCCAGAAAATGGCCCAATATTACTGCACAGTATCATGCCTGCGTTGCCAGCAGGAGGTCATTTCCCAATAGAAGCACAATATCCCACTTCATAAACTGGAGGGTATTTGAACAATTGAATGTCCTGGATTTTTAAAACAGAAGTATATATACCCTATATATACACTACACACAAATTATATAGGCACCAAAGCTCTGCTAACAGCAAGTAAATCTATTTCCAGCCACAGAGCAGAAAACTAAAATTTCATTTCTTAAATGAGCAAGCTTCTCAATATTTGTTGTCTATTCTTTTTTAAATATCTTTTAAAATATTTTTAAAACCAGACACAGAAACCCTTTCCCAACGCCAATGCCTTTTCGGCCAGGGAGAAGTTTAAAAGTTCTCCTCCTGAGAGTCAGCTAATTGGGTTCTGACTGGAAGGGTCAAACATTCAGATAGCCCCAGACCTGGAGTTGATTCCCCATTTGAAGCATCCTTTTATTATTTGCTTGAAGTTGAAAGTAACACGTCAAACTGTCCTTCGTTATCCTTGCAGCATCAAATAGATTTCACCATTTTTTTTCTATTCTGGATTTGCCAGCAGTGGTGAAGTTCTAAGAGCACTTGAAGAGTTACTGCTCAACCCAAAAAACTCTGGACTGGATGAATCAGTGGTCTATATGTTCTCCGTTATTTCATAAAGCAGGTGCTAAGTCTTGCAAATTTCCTTTTCCAGATACAACTTGCATCATACACTAGCTGTCCATAATACTGTGGACAAAATCATGTTCAGTTTATGAGACTTTGGAAGGGCAGGGCAATATTGGAAAAATGCAAAGCAAAAATGTGCTGCTTATATACTGCCCCATAGCACTGAAATCACTCTCTGGGTTGTTTACAATTTAATTATGCAGGCTATGCATTGGCAAGATGGGTACTCAATTTACTGACCTTGGAAAGAAGGATATTGCAAGTATCAGCCCACTGGCAGGCCATCCTTCATGTCCTGGTTGTGAAATCAGACGTGCTTCCCATTGCACAACCAATCCCAATTGGTCAGGGAAGAAAATCTATGTGCTTTTGTCCTTGCCTTTCTGTTTCTTTGTTAAAAGAATTGGGACAAATGTCAGTTTATTTTAACTTTCTAACCAGAAATGGTCAATGTCCCTCCTTGCACCCTGTATTCCAAGACACCATCCGCTCTTCACAGACAATGTTTCAGTTTCTCACAGAATTAGAGTCGGGAGTCATTTAGACCATCCCCTGGTCAATGCAGGAGGTCCAGAAGCAGAGCATCCCACACTTTACTCAGTAGACTTCTTATAAAATAAACTAGGTAATGTGCCTAAAACTCTCAAAGAGAGAGAGAGAGAGAGACCTCCATCATGCAAGGTAATTGATTCCACTGTTGAACTGCTCAAGTTTTAGGAAGTTTCCCCTAACAGTCAAACAATATTTACCCTTCTGCAACTTAAGCCTGTTAATTATGTCCTTCGGGGCAAGAGAGGACAACACTTTTGTTCTCTCCCATACAACATTCATGTAGGCATAATTGAAAAGTCTGCATGTGTTCCTTTTCAATCCCATTTTCACCAGGCTAAACATGTGCACTTCCTCACAGGATTCCAGCTTTCTTTCTTTCTTTGGCCATCTTGAAAGGAACAGTTGTGACCAGTTCGGTCACAATACATCAGACGCAGGCTTTAAAAAGTGAGAACTTGCCAGGGAAGGCAGTTGTGAAGGGTGAATGATTAAAGGACAAGATGGGGGCACTGCTGTAGCAGCCAGATTCATGACTCACGGTTACTCCCAGCCTTCAGCCTTGACATCTTGAAGATAATGAATATGCCCCTTCCGCTACCCCAAGCAACACCAGAGAAAATCTTACAAGTCCTTTCATACTAATTCCTACAGAGATTGGGGTGGGGAATGGGAGGCCCTTCCAATTCACCTTCGGTTTTGCTTCATACAAGATTTGTAGCCATTGAATGAGATACAGAAGAGTCTTTAAAACAATATCAGGTGACTCAAAAATACTCATACCTCTTTAATACCTTTTCACCAGCCTGTTCTACAGACAGTTCTTGAGGTACAACACAGTTAATGCTTTCTCGAAGGCTTTCACAGCCGGGATTTAACGGTTGTTGTGGGTTTTTCGGGCTCTTTGGCCATGTTCTGAAGGTTGTTCTTCCTAACGTTTCGCCAGTCTCCGTGGCCGGCGTCTTCAGAGGAGAGCACAGAGTGCTGGCCACAGAGACTGGCGAAACGTTAGGAAGAACAACCTTCAGAACACGGCCAAAGAGCCCGAAAAACCCACAACAATCACAACACAGTTAGATTGTGGTAGTAGAACTCTGCCTTGTATTAATTTAGACAGCAGCTGGACATTTTCACCATCATGATACAGTATTAATGCTCCTGCAAGCAAAAAAGCTCCCTGCACTCAGTAACAGTAGTATATCAAGCAGCTGGCTATTCTGGGTCCCCCCCCCCATGAGCTTATTATTTGCTACATCATGGATGGCTGCTGTTGCTTCTCCTCTTCCACCTCCAAGCAAGGATGAAGATCATTCAGAAACGTGTGCTTCCAGCTGCGTACTTCACTGATACAATCCAGAATCCTAACATCCCAGTTCCTACTGCAGTCCTTTTCCTGCTCTCTCCCTCCCTCTCCCCCCCCCTCTCCACCAGAAAATGTGAATGAATCTCTCTGCGTGCAGGTAGGCTTTCTCTCCCTGGTGAGAACCTTGCCAAAGGCAGCAGGATCTTTTGGGCACAAGCCTCGGCCATGGGCACCCACACAGTCCTGGCCTCTGCCGGTATCTCTGACGACGTGAGCTGAGGATTCGTCCCTCCATCGATTTAGTGACGGTGTCATTGCGCGTGAACTTCCAAGCGCCGTGTGTAGCGCATCCGTTTTTTACTTTCAGGGTGGAAAAGGGAGTCCATCTCCCCCTTCCCCTCCCCTCCCGCCAGGCTTCCAGAGCATATTTTAAGACTTGAGTGGGAGGAGCCTAGACCATGCTCCTGATAGTGAGCGGGAAAGTGCAGGAGTGCATTAATTTTTCCTTCAGCGGGGCGAGGGAGGTGGTGGGAAAAGCCTGACCTCTGGCTGTTTCTGTGCTTCACAGGCTGCTGGGCTTTCCCCGGAGCAGAACCTCCCCAGGGGCAACGTGCCACCACACCCCACCTAGGCAGCAGCTCCCAAGCCCTCTCCGGGCACCTTCCCTGGCTCCTTTACATCAGCCCTCAGCCCCGCTGGCGAACCAGACCCCATTCAGCTTCCCCCCCCCCTCCCGGTCCTCCTCCTCCTTTCCCGAGCAGCACCTCTTGGGGAAGATGAGGGCTCCTGAAAGGACCCAAGGGAAGGGGGTGGCTCTCTCCGGCCTCTCTGGCGGCTGCCTCCGGGTGGGCAGCGGGAGGGGGGCTGCGGGGGAACAAGGCGCCTTCTTCTTCTTCATCATCATCATCATCATCTGTCTCCCGCATGGCAAGATAAGGAGAGAGGCGCCGTCGCCGTCCAGGGTCAAGAGCGTGGCAGCGGAGACGAGAGCCCGAGCGCGGGGCAGGGGTCGCTGGGTCTCGACCGGCGTGAAGGGGGAGGAAGGCGGGCTCCGTCCGCCCCCCACCCCCACCGGCTCCTTCTCCCGACCCCCTAGCTTGCCCCGCGGGGCTTCAGCTCCTTCGAAGGGGGCCGGTCCTGGGCGGGCCTAGAGAGGGGAGGAGGCAGGCAGGCGGGCGAGGAGGAGGAGGAGGCGCGGCGGCGGCGGCGGCTCCTGCTCCTCGCTCAGCCGCCAGCTGTCCCCGCCCGCTCCACAGCAGCAGCAGCAGCAGCAGCAGCTCCTCTCCAGCCCGTGTGAGCCGCGGCGGCGCAGGCAGTTCGGGCCAGTGCTTGGCGACGAGGATGCCCAGCCTGGCATCTCTGCAGTGCTCCGGCCCCGGCCCGACATGGTGAGTGCAGGGGGAAAAGTGAGTGCCGGATTGGGGGCAAGGGCATTGGGTGGCGAGGCAAGAGGGGACGGAGGGCGGCCGCGGAGGGCTGCGGGATGGGCGGCCGGTCAGTTGCTGGCTGCCCTGGCCGCGCTGCCTCTGCTGCTGGCTTGCTGGCTGCCGCCGCCGCCGCTGCTCCCTCAACGCCGGGGACCAGGGACCGTGCCAAGGGAATTCCCTGCCCGGCGAGCTGTTGGGCTGGCATCCGAGCAGCCAGAGCGGTTGCTGCCCCTCTAGCCCATCAGAGGAGAACATGCCCGGGCGGTGGCACAGCAGCCACAGCTGGCTGCCCTCTTGGTGCTCCGTGGCACCCGTCCCGGCTCTGGCAGGGGGGACGCTGCCTTTGCCTGCTGCCAGTCCGGAGGAGATTCTCTACTTCCCCTTCGGTCGCTCTGCCTCGGTTTTACCCCTGGTATAACTCTCAGTCTCAGCGGGCCCCCTTTAAGGGACAGCTCCAGAAGCTCCTGCTGGTAGGTCTCTCTCTCTCTCTCTCTCTCTCCTGGCTTCC